TCCCATACTGGTACTAATTCTTACGCGACAATTACTACTTCTTCTTCTTCTTTGCTACTGCTGTTGCTATTACAATTGCTGCTGCTGCTCCTACTACTACTACTACTACTCCTACTACTACTACTATTACTATTACTACTACTACTACTACTGCTACTACTAGGCCTACTACTACTGCTGCTACTACTACTACTACTACTACCACTACCACTACCACTACCACTACCACTACCACTAGCCAGGCTGACAAGCTTGCCAAGCTCGCAGATCCATTGCCCAGTGCCCGCGCCTGATCTGCGCAGCCAGGGCTTCAAGCCGGACTGGCCATGTCCGAAATGGTTTAGGGTGTAGGGTTTCGAGTTTAGGGTCCTATATGATATTTTCCCACAATAGCCCACTGTAGACCCCAATAGATAATAGATCCTTATTATACCGGGGACGCCAAAATAGTACCCCTAATCATGGGACACCCGCAAACGAGCAATTCTGGGACGGAATCGGCATCCCAAGCTGAGCTCAGCTGCCACTGCAGCATCTGGTGTTGCAACTGGGTATCGGAATAGGTGTCCTTACGGGATGATCTAAAGATTCGTAGCTGAACAGGCGCAAAGTGCGTTGCCCCTGATACTGACATCCCAGGTGCACGAAACTCATGGCGACAGGCGCACATTTCCCAAAGTCTGAGCACAAAACCATAAACCTGAATTCAAATCACAATATGACATCATCCTTACGGTACCCAGGACTCAAAGCCCGTAGCCCTGGACTCAGCAGTTTAACTACGAACGCCAACCCCGCAGTCCTCGTGAGCTTGTTTTTTTGGTGTTGAAAATATTTGTCAGAGGGGAAGGGGGCCTGGCTTCCTAAACCACCAAGAAGGCAAGCCTCGCCTTAAAAATGTTGAAGCAAGGGCTTATGCAGGGTGGCTTGGACAGTTCTGAGGCTGGTGAGGAGCGACTTGTGCTCCCGTCGCAGCCGCTTCAGGCCTGGGGACACTCCTCGTGATGTCATTTGGTTCTTTGATGGTTCTTCAAAACATGTAAGAGTCATGAACGCGGGCAGCCATGCACAGTTCTAGCAGCAGCGTTCTTGCATAGAGAGTGCTTCAACATGGTCTTTGGCATGCGTGAGTGAAATTGTCACGCAACCTGCCACTGCTACCTGCAAAGACATGTAAGCTTCTTCCACTTTTTCTCCTGTGAATGTCAAAGTGCGTACAAGGGATCTCCGTCCAGAAAAAAGCATAGTTGTAGTTATTCTGGGACAGAACCTCCAAGTCTCCTTGATTACAATACCCCTTCTCTGAGGAAGCCTCAGGGGAACGGCCTCGGGAAAGTTCTCAGGCATTTTGGGCAAGTACCCAATCTCTGAACCTTAATGCCCCCATCTTGACGATCATCGGCCAGGCATGCCGGCTGTGAGCCGACTTTGCGCGCCTCTTGGACAAGGGTCAGACTCTGAGTTCTCAGAGTGCCCAACAGAGCCTGAATTCAAAGTGCAAGGGCTCCTGACTCCTGGTTGCATCGTCTCATGTCAAGTCATACTTCTTATCCATTCAATTTTTCATAGGAGTAGTGCAGCGCAGCGTGTTGAGATGAGGGTATTGAGTATGAGTAGATGAAAGCTTATGTTCATACTTCGATGCCGGTGGAAGGGTTTCTGGCCTCACAGACATACTCGTAGGACGCAAGAATAGTCATCGCCGCAGCAAGAATCCAAGGAATGTGGGTAGCAGGAAGCTCAAGAGCAACAACAACCAAAGGAAAGCAGATATTAGTGGCCCCTAAAAGAGGTTTGGGAGTGCATCACGTCAGCCTGGCAGTTCATAGGATCTTTGCAAAGTGTATGTTACTGCTGAGGCTGCTTCGAGCCCTGACTGCCAGGCACCTGCCCTGTCAAAAATAGTCAAAAGTAAAGCAGTGAGAAAGTGGAAGAACCAGCAAGTTCTTGCTCTGGTCCACACAATTTAAAGTTCTCGATGCAAGACTGATGTTCTTCCAGAGTTGTACCGTCCACTGCAGTTGGTTGTGGTGCTGTAGCTCTGTTCTGCTGCAGGACTTGCTTGGGTCAGCGCTGACCTGGCCAGCTGGCAACTTTTGTAACTGCGCTGCCCGTGCACGAGGAGCATGGTAAGGCAAATCAATCCGTTCCCTTCAAAGAACCCTCTTGTGGGCTGACTCCTCTTAAAGTTGGTGGGCGTTGTCCTGCATACCGGGGAGAGGCTTATGGGTTTGGTTTGCACTTCCATGCAAGAGGGCGGTTTCACATTGAGTAGGCTATCCCGGGAGTGTCAAGTGTGCTGGCCAGTGTCGCTCAGCAAAAAGATGGCTTTGCATGCCTGGGAGGGAGTGCTGTGCTTGCATGGGAATAACTCCTGAAAAATCGTTCTGAGGCTAACTGGGCGTGGTATGAAGTCCTACTCGTCTTCTGCATAAGAAGCAGGGCTCTGACAGTCAGGAAAAGGATTCTTCAGGTTGTTTGACGCTCATCTTAGCCCGTGAGGCGCTTACTATGCCCCGGCTCAAGGTAGTAACAGGATGTCATGCTGCAGCCACGCAGGCTTTTGTAAGAATCCGGTCCTAGTAGACGAAATTTGACCTTCAGGGCACCATTAGCAAACAGGTTAAGCCTCATCATTCGGGTTCAAGGTGCAATGCAACGAATGCAAGCCAAAGGCATGAATATTGGGCACCGCCGTGCGCAGAAACCAGGAGCCACCAGTTATTCGTAAACAATAGTTTGTTGTGATGGAGATGTCATGATCCTAGCGCTGTCGGTCAAAGGTCAATCAATCGGCGAACCATGTCTGCAGCTTGATCTTTCTGTTTCAAGGATTGTTTTCTGGTGTTCAGGAACACGCCAGAAGAGACTTGTTTCATTCGGTTTAAGCTGCGAAGCTGAGGCTGGACAGCGAAATGAGGATGTTCTTGCAGGCTGGGTTGTTACAACTGGTAGTGCTGTTGGGTGATTGTGCCCGCCAGGTTCTGCTCCTGTTGCTCCTTCCCGTTCATGTTCAGGGATTTCATCTCCCGGTGCAACCACCTCGACCGCGGGTGACCGCGTATTACTCTATCCCTTCGCAGACTGAGGTGCACATCGGCGAAGATGGGGTTCCATCTGAATGGGCAGACATTGCACTGTCGAGTCATGATCCTCATGTTTGGGAGGAGGATGGAGTCGTACTTGGCAAAGGCGCTTTTGGAACCGTCAACCGTGGCATCAATAAGGAAACAGGGGAGCTAGTGGCCATCAAGCGGATCACTCCCAACCACAAGCTGGCTGTGGCCACTGCCAAGAATGAGGTGGAGGCAGCGATGCAGCTGGGCGAACACCCGAACGTGGTGCAGATGCCGCTGTGTCAACATGTGCAGCGAACTTTCTTCTTGCATCTTCGTTTGTTTTTGCGGTTTCTGAAGGGAGCACCCCGGCAAGCCGAGGAAGGCCTACTTCCTGGCCCCTCACGAGCCTGGCCGCAAGGATCGCGACGTGATCTTGGTCTACCGCCTGGCGCTGGGCAGGGACCTGCAGCAGTGGATCAATCAACAGCATGGCAATGCCTTCGACGTGAACTATGCGCAGCCAAAGCTGACAGACGAGGCCCTGCGGATTATGCGGCAGCTTGTCTCCGGGCTGCAGCACATACACGAGCGAGGCATCCAGCATCGAGACCTGAAACCTGCTAACATTTTGCTCAGTGCCGGCTGCACGGCACTCATTGCAGACTTTGGCATTGCTCTCGTGAATCGCAGCTCCGAGAGGGTGCAGGGCCACGCGGCCTTGGGGGATTTTTACTTCATTGACGTGGACTCCCTGGTGACCAAGGAGCTGCCTTACACCTTGGACGATGACATCTACAGCCTGGGCGAGGTCTTCGTCCGCATCCTGTTTGGACGCTACGCCACCGGCTGTGACCTGAGGAGGTTTGCCGAGGAGCGGCCCTCGGAGGTGCCAAAGGTGGTGCAGATCTTAGCACAGATGTTGGCTCCCAGAGACAGGCGATGCCCCCTCTCTGAAGTGGAATCTGTGCTGGATGCCCTGCGCTTCGTGCCCAAGGTTTCGGAGCCACGCCCCATCGTGACCAGCATCTTCCTGGGCATCGGGGCTGTGGCAAGTGTTGGGTTCGTCATGGACTACCTCGGCAAGAAGAAGTTCCGGAAGCAGGACATGTCCATCTTCTCCAAGAGGTCCAAGCTGCAAGCAGCCTTCTGTGTGGGCCAAGCGCAGGGCGAGCGTCCGTCCCTTCAGGACTACTACTGCCATTCGCGCATTGCGTGGAAGGTCCACAGGGGTGCACGGTCTTGGAGGCTGTTAGGCATGTTTGACGGCCACGGTGGCAAAGACTGCGCCAAGTTTGCGGCCCAGTCTCTGCCCCACGAGGTGCGGCGCATGTTTCGAGACACCGAGGCAGAGGCGGCAGGCTTGGAAGGGTTGCCTCTTTTCAGGCTGGCCAGCCAGGGCCTGCAGAAGGCGTTGGAGAGCCTCGATCGCTTGTACATCAAGTTCAGGAAGAAGAAGAACAACATGGACCTTTGCGGCACGACTGCGTCTGTAGCTCTCTTGAGCCCTGATGGATGCCATGCCGTGGTTTGCAACATTGGAGATTCTCGAACCGGATTGGTAGGGGAGTGGACGAAGCTTGAGCACACTGGCATAGATCCCGAAGTCCGGCCATGCGACGGGCAAGGAGAACAAGGAAAGCAATTGATCCACATGACCCACGCGCACCGGGTGAGCGACCCGGAGGAGATGGCGCGGATTGACAAGGCGGGAGGCTTCGTCGAGTACGGTGCCAGTGGCCACAGGGTCAATGGAGTCCTGGGCGTGTCACGAGCGATCGGTTACTGTGGGATGAGAGACTTTGCAGACCTTGTGCCATCCCTCTCAGACAGCGCTATCTTGGAAAGGGATGCGACCAAAGCAGCGCTGCCTGTCTATTTAATTGGGGGTGTGAGCTAGATGTAGACAAGGTATGACGAGCCGTCGACGGCTACCAGAACAGCAAGTTACTTGCTTATAGCTAGATTATATGGCCAGGGTTGTGGTGCAGGGCGGTTGGTTCAAGACCGGCAGTTCAACCCAAACATACCCAAAACATTGGCTGGTTCAGTTTGGGGCATCTGTGCAAGTAGCCATAGTCTTGATTTGGGTACTGGTTCTTAGTAGTCAGGGAAAGTCTTTATATACTATATTCCGTTATTCATCTTGTTCCCTACTAAAAGCTCGTTAATTTTGGTTGCTGTTACAAGGAATTTAAACTAAGTTATCATAATATGGGTATACAGTATTCAGAAGGGTTCCCTTATTCTAGTAAGTTAATTGCAACCCAGTATTAACTGGCTCTTAGTAGGGAATACTGGAATATAGTATATAAGGAATATATATATATATATAGCTTTTCTGGAAAATCCTTAAGAGCAACCTAGAATATGGGAAGTTGCCAAACTTCTGAGGCTGGTAGGCTTGGCCAGTGATGGACTATTCCGCACATGTGCCGAGGACGAGGCGCTGAGTTCCAAAGCACAACACATCTTCCTGACATGGCAATTTCCAGACCCCATGTAGATCCCCAAATACTTTATTCGTTTTTATAGGGATCCTCAAAATGGTACCCCTAATCTTGGGAGTCCACGAAAAAAGCCTGACTCCCCGGGTGCAGGCAGCCTCCGTGTTCCAACGCCTGGCTGGGGCAGACAGCACCTCTGCCCAACTCGGACACTGGAATGTTGGGGCTATATAGGGGTTATATAATACGGTGGATACTAAAAATCCTGCATGACACTAAGTGCCCTAGACCTTTGGAATATTGGTACAATGGTATACTAAGGTCATGCAGGATTTTTAGTATCAACAGTGGGGTTGAAGTTTAGGGGTACACAGCTTTCCGGGGGTTTGTCTAGATTATACAGGGCACTCTGGGGGACAAGCTGATACAGGGGGATAGAGGGATTCAGGGATGTCGTTTCAATGCCAGGAGACCCCGTGCTGGAGCTTCCTATTGTCAAGATACTGGTATGTGAAGTGGCAGGCTGTAGCTCTGCAGCACCAGAACTTCGGCCTGCAGGAGCAGGTTGCAAGCTTTGCTGTAGCTCTGCAGCACCAGAACTTCGCCCTGCAAGAGCAGGCAGAACAGAACGTGGCCCTGCAGCTGGAGGTCATCAGAAGAACCTACAGGCTCGAGCAGGAGAAAGGCCAACTGTGGCGCGAGGTACAGCGACTCCGCCCCAGTGACCGATGAAATAGATTTTCGAGTGATAGCTGTCGGCAAGCCTTTCCAATATCTTGATAGGTCATGCAAGATTTTTAGTATCAACAGTGGGGTTGAAGTTTAGGGGTACAGAGCTTTCCGGTGTTTTGTCTAGATTATACAGGGCACTCTGGGGGACAAGCTGATACAGGGGGATAGAGGGGTTCAGGGATGTCGTTTCAATGCCAGGAGACCCCGTGCTGGAGCTTCCTATTGTCAAGATACTGGTATGTGAAGTGGCAGGCTGTAGCTCTGCAGCACCAGAACTTCGGCCTGCAGGAGCAGGTTGCAAGCTTTGCTGTAGCTCTGCAGCACCAGAACTTCGCCCTGCAAGAGCAGGCAGAACAGAACGTGGCCCTGCAGCTGGAGGTCATCAGAAGAACCTACAGGCTCGAGCAGGAGAAAGGCCAACTGTGGCGCAAGGTACAGCGACTCTGCCCCAGTGACCGATGAAGTAGTAGATTTTCGAGTGATAGCTGTCGGCAAGCCTTTCCAATATCTTGATAACGGAGAACCCACTAACTACTCATCTTCCAACCCCACCGGGTCCAGTGGACGTTTGTGGGCTTGGGCCTCTTTGGGGTGGGTGTGATCCGGCGCAACAACCAGCGTTTGGTGTATTCGTGCTTGACCTGAGCGCTGGAGTCGCCCTTCCGCTTGGCGCACGTATGTCGATTTGGAAGCGGTGCTTTGCGCATGCTCTCTATGCACCCTGGTCCCTCCTTGGGCCTGCGGGCCTTGTTGCAAAGGGCAACTTGAATACCGGCAGGAAGTTGAACTTTCACAAGCCTGCGAAAGGCCATGCTGATATCGCTCCTGCCCACCCCTGGTGTGTTTGAGAATCGTGGTGTGATTAACATTGACTGGAGTGCAGACATTGCAGTCGCGTGTCGGGACAGGCGAGGCGAAGTCGCAGGGCTTATGGTGGCCACATATTTGGCTTGTGCTTGAGGATGGAAATTCTTCAGTGTGACCAACCTAGCATGCATACGCATTCTTGGCATCTGCTGCGGCTAGCGTTGAGCAGCTTCAGGCATAGCTGGCACATTCACCAAATAGTTTCGCGCTTGTCTCAGCATGCCTCCTCATGATGCGGTATGTTGGTTGTACTTAGTACTTTGGTTGTTGGTGTTGTTTGGCCCAGCGTGCCTTTGCACTTGGCCTATTGAGTTGGCATGTTAGTTGTGAGCATTATTGGGCCCAAAGTACCTCTTCACAAGACCTGTTCATACAGCATGTTGGTTTTTGCTTGCTATGTTGATCGTTGACGTTCTTGGGCCCTCTGTGAGTAACTGTTGCCACCTAGACGTGGGTGCTCGTGGAACTTTCATTTGGGGTCCCATGTTGCCCTCGGCGCTGGAGCGGTGCTCCCTCTGCGCTTGGCACATGGTGCTTGCGTGGCGGGTGGCGCGTGCCCTCTGTGCTTGGAGCGGTGCCCCTTCGGCACTGGCCGCGCAAAATGGCTTATATTAATATTGTATGTCCTGCTTGAACATTGGTCCTGGGCGTTGTTGAGCCCAATGTGCCTCTGCACTTGGGCTATTGAGTTGGTATGTTGGTTGTGCTTGGTGCTTTGGTTGTTGGTGTTGTCGGGCCCAACGTGCCTCTGCGCTTGGCCAGTTGAGTTGGCATGTTGGTTGCGAGCGCTACACTGGTCACTGGCATTATTGGGCCCAAAGTACCTCTTCACAAGACCTGTTCATACAGCATGTTGGTTTTTGCTTGCTACATTGGTCATTGGCATTATTGGGACATGCTTGCTCGTGGAACCTTCATTTGGGGTCCGATGTTGCCCTCGGCGCTGGAGCGGTGCTCCCTCTGCGCTTGGCACATGGTGTTTGCGTGTGGGGTGGCGCGTGCCCTCTGTGCTTGGAGCGGTGCTCCTTCGGCACTGGCCGCGCAAAATGGCTTATATTAATATTGTATGTCCTGCTTGAACATTGGTCCTGGGCGTTATTGAGCCCAATGTGCCTCTGCACTTGGGCTATTGAGTTGGTATGTTGGTTGTGCTTGGTGCTTTGGTTGTTGGTGTTGTCGGGCCCAACGTGCCTCTGCAGTTGGCCAGTTGAGTTGGCATGTTGGTTGCGAGCGCTACATTGGTCATTGGCATTATTGGGCCCAAAGTACCTCTTCACAAGACCTGTTCACACAGCATGTTGGTTTTTGCTTGCTACATTGGTCATTGGCATTATTGGGACACGCGTGCTCGTGGAACCTTCATGTGGGGTCCGATGTTGCCCTCGGCGCTGGAGCGGTGCTCCCTCCGCGCTTGGCACATGGTGTTTGCGTGGGGGGTTGCGCGTGCCCTCTGTGCTTGGAGCGGTGCCCCTTTCGGCATTGGCCGCGCGAAATGGCTTATATTGAATGTCCTGCTTGAACATTGGTCCTGGGCGTTATTGAGCCCAATGTGCCTCTGCACTTGGGCTATTGAGTTGGTGTGTTGGTTGTGCTTGGTGCTTTGGTTGTTGGTGTTGTTGGGACCAATGTATCTCCTCTCTTGGCCTCATGAATTGGCATGATGGCTGCGCATAATTGGGCCCCAAGTACCTCTTCACTTGGTCTATTGGCTGCAGTATGTTGGTTGTGCTTGTGCATTGGTCGCTTTGCTTTGTTGAGCCCAAGGTGTCTCTGCACTTGGCCTATTGATACCGTATATGGCTGCACTTGGTACATTGGTCGCGGGATTATTGGCCAAGCGTGCTTGTGCATTTGGCCTATTGATACGTAATGTTGGTCGTGCATGCCGTGCTTGCTACATTGGTCATTGCTATTCTTGAGCCCAATGTGCCCCCGCGCTTGGCCTATTCATAGCATGTGTTGGTTGTGCTTGCTACATCGGCCGTTGGTGTAAGCGAGCCCAACGCGTTGGTCCACTGATACATGTTGATTGTATTTGCTACAGCGGTTGTTTGTGTTTTCGAGCCCACTGTGCCTCTACTCTTGGCCTCTTGATGCCGGCTGTGCCTGGTACATGGGCCGTGTGTGCCCGTGGGCCAAATGTGCCTACACGCATGGCCCATTGATGTTACTTGGGTCATTGGTGTTATGAACCCAAAGTGCATCTGCGCTTGGCCTATCGATATGATGTGCTGGTTCTGCGTGCCACTAAGGTGTCTGCATTACCGGGCCCGATGTGTGCATGTGGCCTATTGATATGGCATGTTGGCTGCGCCTGGTACATGGCTCGTTGGTATTATTTGGAAGAAAGTGCCGCTTCCCTCGGCCTGTTGATGCTGTACGTTGGTTGTGTTTGTTGCTACATTCTCGCTCGCGATGCTGGGACCAATGTGCACTTGCGCTAAATAAATATGGTGGTGTTGTTGCGGCCAATGTGCCTCTCCGCTTGGCCTATTGAGACGGTTTGTTGGTGGGGTTTGCTATGTCGGTTCTTGGTGTTATTGGGCCCTCTGTATGTGATTGTTGCCACCTGGTCTGGGTTGCGCAAAAGGTTTATATGTCCCATGTGAATAGTTCAAACACTGGATGGTAGCGGAATTAGCCCGCATTATAAACAAACAATGAACTGCCGCTTGCCTGCACTTGCTACTAATCCCCCACTTGAACTCTGTGGCGGAGGGGGGCAATGACGCTTGCGGAGCCCCCCTGAGATGCTGAGAAGGACGTGGGAGGCAGGCCGCACCGTACGTGCTGGTCGATTCTCACTCACTCACTCACTCACTAGTATCAACAGTAGGGGGGGTTATATAGGGGTTAGAGGGATTTTGTCCCCTTTAAGTAGATAGAATACGGCTTTTGGTATATTAGAATAAGATCCCCATATGCCCCATATTCTATCTGCTTCAGGGGGGCTATAAGATAAGGAGGGAGACTCAATGGTCCTGAGACTGGCTAGGGACACCTAGAAGCAATGGCACAGTTGGCCCTCATGCTGCACTTCATTATGGCGGAATTGTAGCCTCCTGTGAGATGGCAGGTTGTTTGACAACCAACAATCCAGCGTACAGAAACCATCTGAATCATCACAGTAAAGTGGAGATGGAATCAAAGTCGCAGTGGATTGTTATCACAAAGACCCTTCTTAGCACATGCCCCAGACATCGGTCAGACTTCAAAGGAATTTTTTCAATCTAATCCTCACGTATCTCTGGGGTTTCTTAGGGTACCAGAGTGCCTCTTCTGAGAAATTCCATGACTGGTCAGGCTACGAGTCGCTGGAAGTGCTCGTTGCAGACGAGCTGGACCGGGCCGGCGGCGGACAAGCTGCCAAGAACAAGGCCTCTTGGAGCCTGGAAGTGGAATATGGGAGCTTCTCAAAACAAGCCCTATGGAATCCAAAAACTTCCCATATATTTTGAGGGGCACTGACCGAAGCCTGTCTCAAAAAGCTACCACATTAAAAATTCCACGACTGGGATTCGCAAGAATCTGGCCTTGAAGATGGCAGTGGGAAGTATGGTATACGTCTAGCCTGGAGGAACTGCGTCCTCATTACGTCGACCGAAAGGCCTTGAAGCCGCAGCAAATTCCCAACAGCAAGTCGTGAGCTATATACGCCCTATATGTCCATATATATATATACACACCCCTATAGCTATATAACCCAATAATTATAACTTATGTATAACCCCTTAAAAGATACCCATACATTTTCCGCCCTGCAACGTTCCAAGAGATGAACCCCCAGACCCCCTCAACTGCCCACGCCTTACTCGTGACATAAAATGATTAACCGTCCTTGTATGCGCTGGTGGATGGCAGTCTTCAGTGTTTGGTTCCGGTGGGGCTGCCTTGTCTTCCTTTCAAGACGAAGCAACGGAGTTGTGTAATAGGGGGAGGGTTTCTTCTGCGAAAAAGATAGACCCTGGTGCTAAGGATGCGAAGTTCAGGCATCAGCCCAGGCCCAGAGTAGTTTTTTTTTGCAACCGCAGGACAATGCCACGGTCCTCGCTTGCTTGCTCCCGGCCCTGTGAGGACTTGTCGTATGCAGGGTTTAGGGTGCTGCCGTGAGCATGATTTTTCTGATCACAACCGCGTCGACTAGCACTTGAAGCTGCTACTCTTGAATATCAAGGTAATGACCGATCGTAGCACTGAGTGACACGCTGCTTGTTTCTCCGAGGCCAAAGTATGCCTTCGGCATGTCTTGCGAAGAAAGGCTTGTTTCATCTTCTGTATTCTAGCCCCGCACCCCAGTATTTGGACGCCTGTATGCGCTTTGGCGTGCGGCCATGTGCTTAGGGTATCTTAGGGTGTTTCAGTTGGGAAGGAACCAGGCCACGGGGCTGGAGCCTTTAGGGAGAAGGTTGGAAAGCTGGGGAGCTGAGGGCCGGCTTGTTTTGAAAGAAGTTGAGTATAATGCTTTAGTATCAGCAGTGCCAGGGGGCAGGTGCACAACTAGGTCTCTGCTTACATGTCGCGAGAGCTTTGACGGACGTTCGAAAAGGTATCTCTACTTGTAGATACAAGCTAAACTATCTCGCCAAGCAATTACAGATGGTCCTACTTAGGAAGGCATCCAATCAGGCAAGCCCTATTATGATGATGCTGTCTTGGAGGTACCTTGCATGCCTTTTCTGCCGCGGCCGTGCAGGCTTAGAACCAACATCCCCCAGTTGGGGTTAAATCTGCAGACGGGTGTCTTTCACGGGGTGTTCAGCTGAGCCTGGGCCCTTTTTGAGCCAGGCCAGGGCCTTAGTCCTCGGTTGGCTCCCATTTCCTGTTACAGCTAGGATGCTCTGGCGCTTATTCATTCTTGCACGCGTTATTTACATCGATGTAAGAAACTATTCTATAACAACTCCTTTCCATGTCTCTTTGGCCGAGGGTGGCCCTGGGGGCCGGAGGCCAGGAGGATGATGGCCACCAGCGCAGGCAGAAAGTTGTGCCGGGGAAGGTCATGAAACTTGGGGGGTAAAGGTTCCGTACTATTAAGCATAAGGTAAAGATTAGATCACGTCTTTGGGGTTTGGAAGGGGGACCGGTCGAGCTGTCACGGATCTACCATCGGATGGTCCGTCACGAAGTCACAGGAAGAGCAACTAAGACGTGTTGCCCACGAGCCTGACTTCTTCACCCTTTAGCGGAACAGTAACTTGGGCACGCCTATGTGCCTAGCGCCTGTCCCAAGTAGCCATTTTCATGCCGACTATCGACAGTTGGGAGATCGTCAGCGGGGAGTAAGATCGCGTTCTTGCAGCCTTAACGGTTCTGCACAGTTCTGCAATGAGCCCAAGAGGATTGCTTGCTTTTATTTCAGCATCAGCGAGCTCATCGACCGACAGCTCCCTGTAGGCTACAACCCCTACGGCCAGCAGGGCTGGATCCTCAGGTCAGGGAGAGACTGCCGGACCCTTCCCCAACTACCCCTTCTCCTTCTTGCCCTGCATAATCATGATCCCTCGAGCAAACAGGGTCCCTGGCAATCCCGAAGCGTGGAGAGGGTGTCGTGCTCACCAGGAAAGGCTTGGGATATAAAGTCATTAGATCCCAAGAACAAACTGCCGCAGTGCATATCGACAAAATGTCAAGCGTGGACTGCAATCCTTAACATGGGATGATGAGGTCTGTTTGAGGAGTTCGGGTCTTGCAAGGTCTGCGGCTTCACGTTTTGTTGGGTAAAGGAGCTGTGAAAGCTGTGTTCCTCTCATCTAAACACTGCCCTGGACTGAGGCAGTTATGGTGCACCTCAGGCCTGGCAAGACTTTGCCAAAAGCAATATTGAGCAGGGAGAGAAGGGAAACATGCGGAAATCTGACACGAACTCCTCGAATCGAGCTTGCAGGATCTGAATTTTGAATCAGCTGCAGACACCATGTTGAGTTGCATAGTGGAAGTGAGCCAATATCCAAGTACTGCCGGCCAAAATGCTTCAAGTCAAGAAGCCTGATGTGTTTCGTGCAAGGCTTACGGAGAACCGTGGCAAGAGGACTACGAGGATGCACAGGTGTTCCCCATGCTTTTTCCTTGCATATTACTAAAATGAACATGTTGTTCTTGCGTGGCGGGATGACTGGGTGACAGGAATCTTCAGCAAGTGATCCCAAGTGGACAGTATGTACTGTACCGACTGCACCTTATCTGTCCAGCCGTAGTTTCCGTGGTTGGCTCGCATATTTCGGTGAGTGTTGTGTCTTGACTGGTTAGCCACCGCAAAGCACAATCTAGATGCACAGGCTTATATATCTTATATTGGGATAATGAAAAAGAAAATGGAAACTACTATAATGGGGTAGTGACATGCACCTCAGAATGCTCATAGAACTCTTTTGTCTTACTTCTCAGTTGCTGCCTATGTTTGCACAGCAGCTTGACGCCTAAACTGTGGCGGAATGGCAAGCAATCACAAGCTGGTCTGCGCTCGCGCGGCACGGAGACAGTTCGGTGGTGCCTTTCAGCAAGCTGTTCGAGACTACCGAGGTGCCAAACTGTCCGCTCTGACCTTGGCTAGAGGGCTCGAGGAGCGGCTTCCAGGTGGGCTCTCATATCTTCCTCTGGCTTTTCTCTATGATGGAGAAGTGGCCCAGCTTTCCTGGGAGGGATCCGTTGCAAAGGCCAATGCAGAGGCCCGAGCACGGAAGACCAACTTCCGCGTCATGGCTAGAACTCGGCCTCTGCAACCCCAAGAAGTGGAAGACAAGCTCTACGAGTCTGTCAGCTCTGAGAATGGCAACAATGCGATTATTGTTCATGACGGACGTGTGCATCGTGACGGCAGAACCATCTATGCAGTGCATTCTCGCTTTTGTTTGGATGCTGTTTTCAATGAGCGTGCTGACAACCAGGAGGTGTTTCAAGAGGCTGTGCAGCCTCTGCTAAGCTCCGCCCTGGATGGCGGCCGGGCCACGGTGGTCTTCTTTGGTCAAACTGGCACCGGAAAGACCTACACTGCTCGAGGAGCCCTCGACATCATGTCGGAGCTGGTTTTTGAAAAGGCCGACAAGGTGGAGCTGTGCTGCTACGAGATGGCGGGGACACGCGGAGGGCGCGAGGCCTTCTTCGACCTGCTTGCAGGCGAGGAAAAGAAGCAAGTGAAGTGCTTGACTGGCGAGGATGGAAACGTGCACGTGCGCGGTGCGCAGAAGATCGTCTGCAACAGCACCTCAGAGCTCTGCAGCGCTATGGATAAGGCATTTGCATGGCGCTCATCTGAGTGTACTGAACGGAACGAAGCCTCCTCACGTTCCCACTGCATTTTGGAGTTTAAGTTTCCTGCAGAGGGCGATGACAGTGGTGAAGCCGCAGGGCTCTTTCGTGTTGTGGATCTTGCTGGCTCAGAGAGAAACTTCGAGACTCAAATGCACAGCCGCTCCATGGCTGAGAGAGGTGGATTGATCAACTACTCCCTGCTGATGCTGAAGGAATGCGCGCGCGTCATGCATAACAACGAGAAGGAACTGGAAAATGAGATGCATGTTCCCTTCCGCTCCTCACGGCTCACTCACTTGCTTCGAAGCTCCTTTACAGATGGCTCCCACATGACAACGGTCGTTGCCACTCTCTCTCCTTCGCCAACTGACGTGGAGCACTCTCTCAATACGCTGCAACACGTAGGGATGATGCGCTCTTCGCGCGTCTGGGAGACGCGACCCCCCCCGCAAGAACCCAAGGAGGGCTCAGACCCCAAGGGTTTTGATGCCGTGCAGGGCCGAGGGCGTGCATTGCACTCCAAGCTGCAAGATGCCCGCAAAGGTCAGCTCAACCTCCATGCCTTCCAGATGAAGACAGCTGTGGGAGGAAGTATCATGAAGAAGTACGAGGCCGACAGCGCAAAGACCGAGACCTTCATTGATGCGCGCTGGCACCGTGAGCTCAACGTGAAGGTGCAGGATGACCTGTGGGTGCTACGGGATGCAGATGCCGAAGCGACCCAAATCCTTTCATCCTGGAAGGCCGAGCAGTGGGCTGCCTCCAAGGCCCACGACCTTTCGCGCTGGAGTGCTGAGACGTTGCAGGCCTTCATCCAATCCCTGGACCTGCCAGGGCAGGTGAGGATCCCTACAACCATGACGGGCGCACAACTGCGCCGCCTGGGCCGGCGTGGCCTGGCCGCGCTGTGCAGCGACAAGGCCACGGCTGAAGCGCTGGATCAGGCATTGGCGGGCGAAAGCCAAGCAGGCAAGGCGGCTGCTGCAGCCCACCGCAGTGCTAACGCCCGCATGACTGCGCTCGGCAACCACAAAGTGCATGCCGCCATCGAGGAGTTCGAGGAACCTGCGCCGGCCACGCCTGGCAGCAATCCCAGCCACGTGCAGCAGGAGCCTGCGCTAGCTGCTTAGTCGGAACGGGCGTTCAATCTGAAGCTGAACGTCAGCCATGTTTGGGCCTTGTACAGAACGCCCACGGAATTCACCATGGCCTCTTTAGTCAAGATCCAGCACCTGATCCCTCATAGATTCTGCTGCAAAAATCACGAGCTGCCCCTCCAAACCAGATAATTACATTAGTATGATTAGTCTTTAAACATTTTTGGCTGGCTTCAGGCCTACGAGATGGATTGGCACGACCAGCGGCAGGCAGCAATCGGAGACACGGGCAGCTTACGAGTACGTGTAGACCCCCCCCCCCCGCGGGCTCATGGGTACTCGTCCATTTGATAATGAGGAAGAAGACACCTGGCATTTGCATACGTCAAGAGTCTGTCGCAAAGTGACGCTTCTGAGACTGCTGACAACAGCAAAGTTCAGAACTCAAGACCCGCGGTTGGAATCAATCCGCAAGTTGAATCTGCCAAGGGAGTTCGCAGCTCTGATTTCGTTTATGGGTGCGCTGAGGCTCATGTACGCTTAAGGCGTTTTTTTTTTGTTGCTTTCAGGAGACGCATATCAAGTGTGTCCCTTGTAAGGCTCCGGGTTAATGTTCGGATTGGCTTCTCAACTAGATGGTCTGTATAGGGCTGTGCCTTTTGGTGGACAGCAAGACGTCGTCTATGGATGCAAATGCTGGCAGGCCCAATGGATGCAGCATATCGAGAGTCAGTACTTCAGCAGGCCGGACCTGACTACAGCAGACTGAATCATGTGAGCTATAGACTAGGGGTCTAGACTATAGCTTATGTGGTGCAGTATGCTGTTTCTACTCCTGGTGATACTCATTAGCTGTTGCTGCCGTTGCTGACGTGCTTTTGCCTGTGGATCCGTTCCATGATTGTTGATAACACATCCTACATCTTCCTACAGTAGTAAACCTACAACTGCAGGAGTCACATTGGGTGCAAAGTACACTGTAACACAAAACACAATGCATCCAGCTGCAAATTTAAGTCGTCACTCTGGCCCGGAGTCTGTCAAGCTCCTTGTCCTTCAAGCGAAGCCCATGATGCAGGTGGAGCATTGACAAGCAAGATGCCCCTTGGCGCAGACAAGCAGCCCCGAATGTCAATTCCAAACACGATGTGACGACTCATTCAAAGATGCTTCTGTAGAAGCATCGGAGCAGTCCTGGAGGCCATGTTGAAAATCATTGGAGCCAGAACGTAGGCCATAACAAGTTCACCAGTAGTTCACCTTAATGTGTGATTTCGGGCTTTGGCAATTCTTCTCCTACTCCGTAAATTTCAACAAGACTGGCACTGCTGGCCGCCATTCTAGGCTGGTCCTTTTTTGAGGCATTGGAAGGAACTCCACAGCTTTGACAACGTCTCAAAGAGGCCCTCAAAATGCATGAGCTTCTATTGCTCAGGAGTGGCAGGCCTACCAAGCCAAGTTTGACGCAGCGCAGACCGCTCCTGAGATCATCAAGGATCATCCCATTCTGGTCTCCTTGGGCGCCCGCCTGCTACCGTCAACCTACCTCTTGGAAGTGCTGTAGCCGAGTCTCGGGAAGTCCTGGTAAGCGACTGTAGGGACTGTGGGAAGGGTGTTGCGGTTGAGACCCAGGAGGAGATGGTTCGGATCGGATCTGTGATTGCTGAAGCGCAGGAAGAGGTTTTCCGACCCCTTCTGCAATGCAGGGTTCTGCTTTGAGGATGCGCGTGCCCTGTGCCATTCTACGAAAGACCTCTTCAAGTGCAAACAAGCATTTATCGCTTCGCACAGTTTTAAACACTTGGGGTGGGTCGGGCAAGTAATCCTTCAGCCACATCCTGGCCTCAAATGCAATGCTTCGAAGCCCATACCAATCTGCGCATGAAGCACTAACCGCATATTACCTGCATGTTCGATTATGTGCGGAGTCTCAGTACAAGAGCCCACGTCTCAGTAGAGAGTCAGAACTGAAATTCCCGGAGAAGCCGGAATCCCTCAACTCCAGCGCAGGAGAGCCCTGCCCCTGCCCCCGACGCTTCGCGGTGGCCCTCCGCCTGCCCAGGGTTCCAAGCAGTTTCCCTCCCGGTAGTGGCTCTGAGATCCTTAGATGCCCCAAAAGTCACGATGTTGAAGCTGTGCAAAGGTGTTCTTAAGGAGAGCGGGCTAGTACTTCCGTAACACAAGTGCCTGTGGCAGTTGCAGGATGTTGCATGCAGCTTGGTAGGGTTCAGGTCCTCCGTGTGTTGTTGCGCCGTGTAGGCCGTTTTCTGAGCACAAGAGTTTTTAAAGCGTCCACACATTGGGATCTCCTGTCAGTGGCTCAGTCTGATGCAATGCATTGTGACGCCTGATCACTGTGATGGAACGCTCATTCGAACATACCCACAACTGACAGGAATCAGAACTAAACAGTTTGACATGCCCGCCGCTTTTGTCACAGAACTTGCCTCCGCGCGACATTCAAAGTCAAAGTACTGCTTTCATCCTCCGCGGGCTTGCTGCTCGCTGGCTTCGTGGCCTGGGCCTTGGGGGAAGTCTGCTAGATCAACACGCGGTGCATAGGACGCTGGCGGTATATGGAAGAATGTTGCAATGCTTGTGCCTCGTCGATCCTCCACACATCCGTCTCGATGCAATGTCAGGTGACCGTGCTTGGCATCTGGCCTCAGCGAAGCGATGTGAAGGAGCCTTAAGCCTTCTGAGGGCCCTATAGATTGGGGGTTGGATAGGTGTGCGAGCTCTGAGTGACTAGCTGAGACAAGGTTCGCTTTAAGTTGCCTTGCGCTTGAAGAGGTCATCACCCAAGCCCTCAGGCATTTTGAAGAATCTCATTCCCTTATCTACCATTGAGCAGCATGCCCTGTTCATCACCAAGGTTGCGTTGCAACTCCCGCAAAGCGCGTGAACATGCAGACGATTTTATTTACAGATTTCAACCGCATCATTCCTCACTTGAAACGTAGCTGCGGAAGAGCAAGCCCAATAGTGGGCTACATGCGAATAGGTTTTACACATGCGGAGTCGGTCAGGCCCTGAAAAGACAAAGGACAACAACGCAGGCACTGCGCTGTAACCTTGTTCCCCTGACCTGGCTAGTCATCTCTTCAAGATGAAGTCTTTTGAGGGAACTCCGCCCTTCTAATGAAGCCTGCCTTGCTTAAGAAGCTTCCTGAAGCCTCTGCCTCGGCCTGCAGCTTCATGCCTTGGCTCAAGATGAGCTATGGTACTTCTTAGCGATGCGGTGATGAATGGCAGCCTGCCTGCACTTCATAACCCAAGGATTGCGGCAAAACCTGTGTGAATACATCCGACGATTGAAGGGCAGATGCTTTTAAGGGCTGTCTGCGTGTTGTGCTGTGTGGTGCTGGTGGCAACGCTGGCATATTTTTCCGCCAATCAGCTCGCATGGCGTACCCCAAAGCCCAACTGGTCGCCTTCGGCTTCCCACCTTAACTTTAAGGTGCTACCCGGGACGGTCAGTCGCCGGCAGCCCAGGAGGAGTCACTCACAGCCTGGGCTTCTCCAACTGCAGACTACAAGAACTGTAGTCTAAACTAGCGCTTATCAAGGGGCATACTACGGGTTTAGACCACAGCTCACACGCAACAGCAGCCATGTTCAAAAGGGATTGAATGGGGTTCTCCAGCGATCATGTCAAGCTTTTATGGCAATATTCCAAATTGCTGCTCGTAGGGACTGTTCATAGGTATGCAACCACTGCCTTCATTGTCGTTCTTCCCAGTAGCGCTACAGAGCACCGCGTATAAGGCTGAAACGACTTTGGTTGCCAAGCCCTAGAGTCCAGCCCTACCAAGCCGTAAGGCGACACACCAAAACTGTGACCAGAACTATCCATCCAGATGCACACGCGTCAGTGAGGCAAACTTAGCCTTTATGACGAGTTACCGAGATTGTGATTAGAAGTTGTCACAGTGCATGAACAGAAGCAGGCACTCACAGCTGCTACTACTGTAGTTTATCAGGTGATTTCTCCGCTCAACTGACGCCAGAGGCTGGCTCTGCTTCTCAGGCCTCAGCCAGGGGCTTCGTAAGGGTCAGAGTGGACAGGTTGGAGACAACCTCCAGATACTCCAGAAGAGCAGCTGGCCCGGTAATGCTGAAAAAAGCTTTGTTGGCTCCGCGCAAGTGCCTGCAGCCAAGGCTCTAGAAGTAAGACGAGCGACCCACCGCCCGGGAAGAGGAGTGCTGGTGCCGAGCAAGCGGGAGAGATCCTGAGGGAGGGGTGGATGTGACATTTCTGTCGCAGGAACTTGTCAGAATCCGATGGGGCCTCAGCTTGTGTCGTCTTTTTGGCTTCAAGCAGACAGCCGAGTTGCCGGGAGTATTGCTGCCTTTGCAGGCAAATGCGGACAAGCTTGTTGCCTCAGTGGTTTCAAAGGCCAGAGAGGCGGTCGACATCCTTGTTGTGTGCCTGCTCTTGTTTTGCTTCATGTTACATTCAGATAGCAATCGCAGGTTCAGTTCTCCTGTGACATCATTCCAGATGTGAGGCTCCGAAGGAGCCCAAAACTCAAATTCCGTGATCTGGCAGCCATGGCACAAGTGGTGACAGTGTAGCCCGCAATGTGCTCAATGCTTGATCTTGGGGTCGACCATGTGTGCTTAGTCACCGTGTCAGTGGTGACAGGAAACTCTGAAGAGCAGGGCTCGCAGGGCTGTGCTTGGTTCATGGGTCCCTCCTGCGCCGCAATCCCTGGAGCCCATCTCTTCCACGAAAAGTCATTCAGAATCGAGGCGAAGGCGAAGGCACGACGAGTACATTTCCTGCGCAGTCGCAGCGGTCTGATCCCAAGATCAGTCCTTCATGGACTATCATGGCAAATCATCATTTGCAAGTTTTGGGGCTTTCGTTGTCAGCAGATGTCTGGCCTTTACAAGCTTCTCGGAATGCTTGGTTGCCCCCGCGCGAGAAACCTGCATCAGGCATCATCAAACCAAGGCTGTAATCTTGCGATGTCACTCGCCCAATGATTAGAGAATTGCTCGTCCACATCTTATCCAAGTGTTCCTCA